TATAAATACTTTTTTTATAGGCCATGAAACGTTTTCTTGTTCCCCTTTTACAATCAGATCAATCTGTTATTGAATCTGTTACTTCCAAAAAAAATCGTGAATCTTCTACTTTAATAGGTGTCATTGATCGCGATGTTCAAAACAATATTTTTTGATATTAGTCAAAACGTTGAAAAAGGGCCAAATTAACCCAATATTACGTTTCCAAGACGAAACATCGGCGGAAAACAGAGATCATTTAATATTTCGTGGTATTCAAAATACGAATGGCTAGAATATTCAAAAATGAGAGATTCGATATTTTGTTTTTACTGTCGTCATTTCACAAGTGATAATTCAGGATACAGAGATGAAGTTTTAATTTTTAATGGTTATTCTGATTGAAAGTATATTGGAAACATGTTAGAAAAACTCAATTCTTCAAACATTCATAAACTGTCACTTGAAAAATATAAATCGTGGATATCCGCTAAAAAAACCGGTTCTGTAGCAACAAAATTAAATACTCAACTAAAAGATGAAATTTTAAAAATCGGGAAATTATAAGATGCGTATTATATTGCGGAAGACAAGATATTGGTTTACGTGGTCACAGAGAAACTAATAATTGTATTGATGATGACGATGATAATTTAAAAACTCATATTGACCTCTTTCAAAATAACGGTAATTTTATTGAGTTGGTAAAATTGCTTGGACTTGAAAATGACGATTTTAAAACAAAATTAAATTTATTACTAAAAAATGCTAAATACACTTAAGAAACAATTCAAAATGAAATTCTTAGTGTGTCATGTAAAGTGATTTTAAAAAGTATTGTAAAAGAAATTCAAAATGGAAGTAATTTTTACAGTATTATTGTCGAAAAAGTTAAAGATGAATCAAATATAGAACAAATGAATATTTGTGTACGCTACATAAGTGATAATCGTATTAACGAAAGATTTCTTTGATTTCTTGAGCTTAAACAATTAAATGCAAAAGCACTTGCCGATAGTATTCAAATTTTTTTGTGTTCTATTAATTTGGATATAAAAAATTGTATTGGCCAATCATACGACGGAGCTTCTGTTATGTCGGGGAATATCAATGGTGTTCAGCAATATATCCGAGAAATGACTAAAAATCCATGCCCATATGTACATTGCTATGCACACAGGCTCAATCTTGTCTTAGTAGATGCATCAAAAAATGTTTCAGCTATTCATAATACAATTGGTATTTTAGAAACAATTTATTCATTTCAGTCGTGTTCTTCACTAAGGAACAGCTTATTTATGGAATCACAAAAAGGCAGTAATAAAACATTAAAAATACCACAGCACTGTGAAACAAGATGGGTTTCAAAGTACAAAGGGATACATTTTTTTAAAATACGTTTAAAAAGTGTTATTAAAGCCTTAAAAGAGTGCACTTTGAGTAAAAAATCAAGAGATGCTGCAGAAGCTAGAGGTTTATTAAACCAATTTGCAACTTTTGACAATTTATTGACAATTTTTTGTTTAGATGATCTTTTATTACGTATAAACTCGTTGTCAGTTTATTTACAAATAAAATCTATAGATTTAAGTAAGTGCATAATACTTATTAAATGTACAAAAGATCAAATAAAAAGTATGAAAACTGAAAAGAAATTTCATGATTTATATGAAAAAGTAATTAAATCTGTAGAAGATATCAGTAGTGAAATTATCATCCCAGTTACGGAAAAGAGAAAAAAAGAACGTATCATCAAAACTTACAGATTATTTTGTGACAAGTTCTATGGACAAAATCAAATTGACAACATTTCTAACATGAAATAAAAATGAGAAGTCAATACTTTGAAATAATTGACAATATCGTCATGAAAATGAACCGAAGATTTAAGCAAACAGAACTAATTGAAGCAGTGGAAGCCTGTAATCCAAGCTCCAAAATGTTTTTAGACTTTGATAAACTTATAAAATTTCCAGGAATTTCTACAGATAATCAATTTATTGAAAAGTTGAGAGCACAATGTGATTTAGGAAAAAAAATGTTTGCAACAGATTCAAATTCTATAGAAACCTATTTATCGATTAAAAGCATGGGAGCATCATTCTTACAGCTAGAAGAAGTATACAGACGAATTTTAGTTATTTCGATTTCAAGCGCTACAGCTGAAAGGAGTTTTTCTACAATGAGGAGGATTAAAACGTACAAAAGATCAACCATAACCGGAAAACGATTACACAACCTAGCTCTGCTATCGATCGAAAGAGAAAAAATTGAAGAGTTAATACAAAATTCAGACGAAATTTTAAATAAATTTGTACTTGATAAGTTAAGGAGATTAAATTTTTCCATGTAATTGTATTTCGATATATTTTGTTTTTTTAGCTTTTATTAGTACTAGACTATTTATTGAAATATTTATAACTAAATGAAAATTATTCTTTATTAAATAAAATCATAATTTTACTGTATTTTCTTTTGTGGTTAAGTTTATGGGCCCGTCCAAAAAAATATTCCTGGATCCGCGCCTTATTGAGGATCATCGCCGCTTCTAAAATTCCTTTCCACCTCTCCCTATCCAATGACGCTCCCATATCTAGCAATGGGTTAACCTTCTTTAGGTCTTTTTCTATTCTATCACACCATCTCTGCCGGGGTCTGCCTTTTGGTCTTTTCTCCGTTATTTTGCTTTCAGTGACTTTCTTAATTAGCGTGTCTTCGGCTCGCCAGACATTATTTGATATCTATATTTAAGTAATATTTTGTAATTTTATATATGATGGCCTATACTTTATCATATTCATACGGGACTATTAAAATTATTTAACACAATTGTATTAATAATTTACCAAGTACAATAGTTCATAGTTTCAAAGTTTTAATACAAAAATATTGTTGACGCATTTACCAATTTTGTAAATAAAATCTAATATAAAATAACAAGGCCAACTGGAAATTTTTCAATTCCAAACCGGCCACTCCGCCCCTGGTGACGTTCCATAGTCAATAATAAATTAAAACAAGATAAAAACTGAATTGAAAAATAAAGATTGACAATGTGTATAAAAAAACCCCGATAAACCTACTTAAATATCAAAAAAATAATTTGTCTTTTGATTTTATTATGAATAGTCTAAATTTCTTTAGTATATCGAACAAATATGCATTAAAAACCAACAAAATGACACAACAAAACTAAAAATGCTTTAAAAATGAAAAAACATCAAAATATGCAAAAAATGCAAAGTAAAATTTGTAGTTTTGAAACCCTGGTTACATGAAACAAATTATGTTCTTAGAGAGCATTGTGTATGATCAACCAAAAAAATATGTACTTTGCATTGAAATCCAGGCTCTACTTATAGCAATTCCAAAGTAATAATGAAAAAACTGCTGATCTCTTTCGATAAGACTAGAGTACTTTAAAATGTATTTTAAAAACATTTTAAATCGTTGATTTTTTAAAAAATCCTTAACGTGTTTTTTTTATTAAAAAGCTATAACATTAAATTTTCTTTTTTCTTTTTAAAATAATTATTACCTATATATATATATTTTTTATATATATCATAATGATATAATTAAAACTTATTATTTTTTTAATACATTGGGAGTAATTATTATATCACATATAAAAAAACAGATTATGGTCAAATTAGAAAAATGCTTGTAAAAGTAGAGCTAATCTACTTAACATTTATATTTTCAATTTTTTTCTTCCATACAATGCGTTATGAGTTGGAGAATTTAGTTACTTAATTCTTTGTAAATATTTAGCATGAAAATAGGTTATTGATTGACTTCGATTTTATATTTGCTTTAAGCCCCAATATGATATAGACTTAATAAATCAAATAAGTTATACATCAGATTTTGTTATGATCGAATAAAACTTTGTCAATTTTTTAAAATCTTGTAAATAAATGTGAAGCTATGTGAAACGTGAACATAAATAACCAGTGGAGCAACTAGAGTTGGTGTTGGGGGGTTTTACCTCCCCCCCACCGGAAATTTTTCTGAGATTTTTACAAATTTTACATAGGAAAAAAAATTGTTTATCTTGAACACGCGAAACGGCTGATTGATATAAAATATGAATATTATACGTATTATAATTGATAACAATAATAATATGACGATATGGAACGTTTTGTAACGTTCCGTTCAACTTTAAAACATCAATCAGTGCTTATTCTAAAGCGCAGTTGGGCTTATTTTGCGTATTTGGAAAAGGTAGATGCGCACTTGATAATAAACTTTTACGTAATTGATTTTTAATTCAATGTTGTTTAGTGTTATTTTATATATTACATTATAATTTATAAACAAAGTAAAAAAGAAATTTATTAAAAAATATTAAAAAAAATACTTTGAACACGAATGTAAATTGTTTTATATCTTTTAAATACATTACATTTTAAATTACTTCACATAGAAGCTACACATTTTATCATTTTTAACTATAATTTGACAGTATATTTTGAGATCAAAGTTCTATTTTGATAGGCTTATTTAAACAAAATGCGAAGTTGATAAAAATCCTTTGAATAGTCCCTGACATCAATAACCATAATACTACGAATTCTCGATAGTCAGTTGTATAATAGTTTTTTGTGGTATCACAATACGAAATATAAGTTTATAAGTTATAAGTTAATATTATAACTTATTTTTATAAGTTTATATAACTGTTTAATTTATAATTTAAATATTTTACTTATAAACCTAACTTTATCTTACTTCCTTATCTCCGCCAAATACCTGCAAAAAATGCTTGATTTTTCCAAATTCACAACCCCCCTCTCCCCTCTCCTCGAAAACCAATACTGGTTGCACCACTGCGAATAACTATTTATATGAAAGGGTGCGGTTGTCCTAAAAATGTTAATCCAACATATTACTACACGCCCCAACAGTGCCTTTAAGAAATTGTTAATGCGATCTAGTGGATACTGTCTGAGTATGCTTTAAAAAAAAATCAGTTGAATTCCAGTTTTTGATAACAAATGTCAAATGATAAATTTTTTATCTTATTTAGTTATTTATCACAAAAGAATTTGTCAGTGTGAAGCATGGTTGATTGTACGATGTACGATCTAACGTAGATCTTGCTGCTCGTGGTAGAATCGCAGAACTTATAGATGTATCTATTTATCAAAAATGTAAACATTTTTATTGTAGAATATAAGGTATGATATTTTGCACCAGGAAATATTTTACTTAAGCTATTCATTGTTTTGCCACATAATACAAACAACCAAAAACACTAGGATGTGACAACAGGGTGAATTTATATTTATCTTCTATAAAATATGAGCATGATAATACATCACTCGATTAGATTAATAAGTATGAAAAATGCTGAATAAAATAAATTATAAAATGTATTATTTTGATAATATACATCAATGAGCTGGTTATTAATGGCAATATCCTTGTTTGTTAAAATTAGACAAATAATTTAGCTATAGGAGAAAAATTATGATATAGATAATAGAAAATTATGATTAAAACAAAAATAACATTTTTTTTTTTATTATTTTCCTTTTTTTTAGGTAAATTCAATGTAATGCGTATGGTTACATATATAAATATAGTGAATTACTAACATTAAATTTTTGTTTTAGATTTAATGGCTCTTGATGTTGAATCCAATATGATGAATTTGTTTGAAAATCTATCTTCAAAAGTCCCATTTTGGGATGTGAAATTACCTGAAAGTCCATGGGATTTTACTGAAGATTCTAAAGATTTAGATGTACTGTGTGAGTTGGTTAGGAATCAGTACTTGAAACGTCTTCGCCAAACACTGCTTGATAATTTAAAAGTTAGTGAAGGATATCAAAAAGGTAATCTTACCCAAGCACAACAGTATGTTGATATATGTATGACCGAAATGGAAAAACAGGCTTTGAGAAAATGTATGGTTGCCAGATTATATCGTGAAGGGATGTCTAATATGGTATGGAATTTAATATTATTTATTCATGTTTTAATCATTTAGTAAATAACAAATAAATATGTATTTGTAGTATACAATATTTAAAATTGTTTTTTTTATTTTTTATGTATAGATAAATGAAGTTAAGACTTGTACAAAAAATTCTATGTTATGTGTTTGGCTTAAGCATATTATTGAATCAAACAACCAATCATCAGTATGTGATAAATATTTTGGATCTGAAAATATAACAAAAAATTCAATATGTATTACTGAAGAAAAGAAAAAAAATTTAGCTTCAGTACAGATTAAAAAGATTACTGATGCTGTCAATAATTTTTTTATACATAACAATAATTTAAATCCAGTAGGTTCACTAAAAGTACTTTCTAGTTCCTATGATTTGCAACAAATAAATACCGAACCAAAGATAGAAAATGTAGCTTCAGTGCAGACTGCATATATAACTGATGCTGACAATAATTTAGTTATAAATAATAATAATACAAATCCTGGATGTATACTAAATGTATCTCCTAATTCCTATGATGTGCAACCTAAGATCTCTGAATCAAATATCTTTGATAATTTAAATTCTTTATTAAAATCATCATCTTGTTCTTCAAATTCTTCTCCAAATGCATCTATGGAAGTGAATTACAAGTTTGATTTTACTGAATCTGCAAGTTTACATAAGAATACAGATTCACAGAATTGTGAAACAGATAAGATGTTAAGTATAAACTCATTGTTAAAAGATCTTCAAGATTCTCCAGAATATGAACAACAGTCTTTAAAATTGGAGGGACGTTTAATTACATTAGGATTAGCAACAGAAAATCATAAATCCATAAAGCAATTTCCTGAATCAACTAAACCAAATTATATTAGCCCAAATACAATAAGACTAAAAAAAATTAATGAAATACTTAAGGACAAATTAAAAAGTGAACGAGTTGCTAAGACTTATGAATTACGAAAGAGTATGAATGAAATGCCCCAAGAATTACAAATAAGACTGAACCAAAAATTTTGTGATTTATTTGGAAACAACCATTCTTATGAATCGGATTCATTGTCTGAAGAAGAAGAACGTATTATAGCTCATAAAAGGATTGTAAAAATGGTCGTTGAAATTATGACACCTTATTACAAAGCACACCGTATCAATAGACATTTGTTTAAAAGTCTTGCTAAATTGATCTCTAAAAATCTTATGGATCGAGCATATGATCCAGGTAATTAATATTTTTTTATCTGATTGGAAAATTGTTTATAAATTTAATAAAATAAATAAAATTAAACAATTTATATCAATTCTATTAATAAATCTTATTTTTTTCTTTTAGAAATATCATTAATATTAACATACGTAGCTAACAAGAACTAATAATATTATAGCTTTTAAGTATTTTATAATTATACTATTTTTATAAATTAAATATAATAGATTATTCTAATTTTCAATTTCTAACATTTGACGATTTGTGTACTTAACTGTTTCTCTATTATACTTTTATTCTAGAAACAAAACATGAAACAGATTGTATAATTTAAATGACTAGTATACTTTATTCAAAATTTCATTGATAAAAAAAAACAGTACTATGTTATAAATACTTTGAAAATAACTGTAGAAAAGCTTCTGTAACTAGTCGTTGACTGATTTTTATCATTAGTATAGTTTTCTTGTTTGTTTGCTGGACCAAAATGGATTTGGTCAGAAAAAATCTACCTTGACCAATCATGTGAACTATGTTAATTTTTACTTACTAACTATACAATTTTGAATCTATGTCTAAATGTCTTATTATTATGATATTCAGTGGTTCTTAATACTTCAATAAATTCAATATTGCATTTGAAATATAGGTTCATATTCATATTTCTTTAACTTATTTTATATATATTAATTTTTTTGTATACTAAAATACACTTATAATTTTCTAGATGAAGAAATAGTCGCCAAAAGAGTAAATGAATTTTTCACTGGAAATAGGTGTATTAAAACAGCTGAAGATATATATCAATAATCATTTTGATAAATTTATGAATACATATGTAGTAGGTGTAATAATTATTATACACATTTTCAATGTTGTGTCAGCTTTTTTTTAATGGCAGTTTTCATTCTTTCTTTTTATTATTATATTTTTTATATTGTTTGTACATAATTATTTTTTTAAAATATTAAACATAAACAATTTTTTTTTTTTAATAAAATATGTTAATCATATAATTTGTTTATTTCTTAGTGTTGTGAACAAAATTAAAGCTTTAAATCAGTAGTTGAATGGTTGTAGTATGTGTCATTTATTGTTAATTCATTATTTTTATATAAGATATTAATAGAATAGGTAATTAATTTGATACCAATTTAAAAATCAAATTCTGCCAGTTATTGTAACTTATGTTATTTCAATTTCATTTTATTTTTTTATAAGTTATAAAGTTCTTTTATTTCTAATTAAACATTAATTATTGGTTCACTAATTTTTAATGTATTTCATATGGAAACCTGTTTTAAATTACATAAGGTACAAAAATTGATTCAAATTATAATATTTTATAAAATTACTAACTTAATTGAAAAATTGTTATTTAATGTTTATTATTAGTATTTCAATATATATATATATAAAATATTAAAAATCTGAGAAGACATAGCAATCTAGGTTTATGGTTTAGTATATTAAATATTGATATACAAATTTAATAACCAGAAAAATAGTTATGTTGACTATACATATCCTAAAAATGTAGAATAAAAATATATTTTTTAAATTACCTATTATAAAATTACTTTAAAATACTACAAAAACATGTTTTAAATAAATAATTATTATAAATTAATCTCAAGCATATTATCCTGAATTTGAGTTTGGTGTCATCTGTCCTAGTTCCAACATTTTGTTTCATGGTTTGTTAGTATACAGTAAGAGTTGGACAAACTTTGTAAAACATTTCGAGTCGAGTATTCGAACTCAACTTGATAAAAAAATATTCATACTTGTGAATACGAGTACTCAACTTTTTCTCAATAAGGTACTTGGAATTGTTCGAGTACTCAAATTTTAAACTCGACTCGAAAACGAAAAACAATATTCGTCCAACTAGTACACAGCGATAATAATATCCATGACATTTCCCGCATATGACAATTATAATGGGTTATACAATGTCCAAATTGAATGGTTTGATTCAAATTAAATTATTATTATAACATGATATTTTATTTTAAAATATTAATTTTAGAATGAAAAATTCCCTTATATATGGGTTGTAAGTAAAGAAATATGAAAAACATAAGAACTAATAAATATAAAAAGCTATGTTTTAGTAGTAAAATCTCAGATCATATGAATATAATCTGTAAATCTGTAAGAAAGTATGATAGTAAATAGGGCCCGGAATTATATGTACTTAAAACATAGGAAATATGCATGCATTTATGCGATGGTTATTATTCAAATATGCAAACAAAAATGTATTTTTATTCTTTATTAAATGTATTTAATTTTAAAATGTGTAGGTACAATTCATTAAATAGTTAATATTCAACAAAAAATATACTTTAAAATATATCAACTATATTTTATATATTTTATTGAACTGTATGGAACTGTATGTTGTATTGAAATTAAATTGTATTTTGAACACTCACTCATTTAAACAAAAAGTCATAAACGAAAATAAATTTAAACAAATCAAGCGGACTTTTATAATATTTTTAAAGTTACCTGGAAAGTTATCGTATTGGTACTTTTAGCAAACTTTATCTTGTCTTATTATAACACAAAAATCAAATTATATAACTGTACGATTCACGGAATTTACGATGAACATTCGCTAAGTAATAAATAATATTACGAAAAATATTACTAATAATATTTTAGCATAATGAATATAATATATGTATTATATTTCGAAAAATGCTAAAATATGCATAATAATTTGAAATGTTCCAAATAGGTATGCAAAAATATGCCAAATTTAATTTTGCATACCAACACATTAGATTAAGATTCAAATTCCTGTCTTACCTTGCTACTTTTTAGTTTAATATATAAAAATATGCAAATGCGTCCAATTCCGGGCCCTAATAATAAAATAAAAACGATTCTAATCAATGAATAATTTTATTTTATAATTTAGTTTTTTTATAAGAGTTTATTTTATTATATATAACAATTATAATTGTATACATGCATGATATTAAGAGACTATTTAGTAATACGTGAATTTGTTTCAAAATTTCATTAATATAGTAAGAATTCGAATTAACAGGTACTAAAAAGTTCGATATATCAAATGACGACTAATCTTTAGCCTTATGTCCATATGTATACATGAATAAATACAAAATGTAATGCTGTTACTCAATAATAAAATGCCATATTTTTATTTAGGGCTGAATTAAGGGGTGATTGGGAAATTTTCCCTGGATGGCTAAATTTTGCTACATTTAGAGGGCGACCAGCCACCACTGTAGTCCAGTGCAATATTGTATTAATAAAATGTATTAAATAATTTATTAAAGTTAATTTTTAGTTATAATTCTTTATTAAGGATTAATACTGGTACAATACGAGTATAACATCGATTGAGTTATTTCGGGCTTCACTCGTCAGGAATGACATTGCAAATATGATATCCAACATCCGGAACGGATAGGAACTCATAGAAGAAGAAGGCATAATAAAGAATTATAATTAAGAATTTATAAACATTTTTTTTAAAAATGTATCAATTTTTTAGAGGAAAAGGCATAGGTTGACATAGGACGCAACATTTGTAAATATGGCCTTATTTTTATTTATATTTCTCTAACACAAGTGAAGTTGAATATAGAGTAAATTCACATTTTGTGACTTATAGTTTCTGGATAATAGTTAGTTGTAGTAGTTAATTAGTAAGTTAAGAACTAAATTTATTTACAATGAATTTTAAATAAATATAATAATTAATTATAAAGATATATATATACGATATAGATATGTATAAGAGTCATAATAAAATATATATCAAATTATAAATATAGGCAAATATGACAATTTTACATTGGAAAATACCAGACTTGTATACCTCAAAATATTCGTATAGAAATACCTTATAGAAAAAAAAAACCTAATAGAAATACTTGGTAGTTTTAAATTATAAAAATCTTAAAAAATAAAAAGTATTTGATATTTTTAATGATGATGTACTTATGAAATTGTTTAAGTTTTCGAAATTATTATAGAATTTATGCATATTATTTTTAGTCTATCAGTATATGAGTTTAGTAAAAAAATAAGCTTTACACTAATACATAAAATATATTAATTTCACTACGTTTTATTATAATATTATAATATTTTAAAAACTCGTCAAATTATAAGAATAACTGTATTTCCCTCTACAATTTATCCTGAATTTCTCCAACGATATTTTTTCTATATTGATTTGAAAAAAGTGCTCTATAAAATATTCAACCTTCAGTAATAATCATATTGGCAATATGTTTCTTTTTAATATAGGTACATAAAAATTAATCACTTTAATGTTAAAAGGTTACAAAACATTTAAAAAATGTTATTATATATTAGGTATATTTTCTATTTTATTATAAGCGATGAAAAAATATTCACCTTATAGTCTTTGTTGTATAAACATTTTAACTGTATTTTATTTTCAAATTTTGGTTATTAAGTTTTGTAGGTATGGCCATACCGTACAATCTGATCAATATATATCCTGACGGGAACGTATGCTGTCGCTATGGTTACGGTATTTCTCAAGCATGCTCTGTGGTCCATTATATGGACTTGTACCTTTTTTTATTTCACTCTTTATATAGTTACAATATATTAAAGTATTTGAAAGCTAAGACACAATATAATCACATTTTTAACAAACATTTTACCACACTAGTTTTATTAAGTTTAAAATCCATCATGAATTTCTAAATGAGACAACGTTAGAAGTTTTAAAATAAACCTTACATTTTTATTTCCAGTTAAACTATTATTCAGTTTTTTATTTTTTATTTTATAGATATTATTAAAATGTCTTCAAAATTCACTGTAACATTTAGAAATATGAAATATACAGTTTTTAGTATATTTTTGTTCAGTTTGATATTTTCATTAAATTGTAAAAGTGAAAATATTGAAAAAGAAAATACTGATAATAATCCATATGAATTTCATATTGGTGGAGTCTTAAGTAGTAACACAAGCGAAGATTATTTCAAACTAACAATTGAAGTAATGTATACAATTAACAAATAATATGTGTAATATATTTATTACTGTTTTATATTTATGTAATTATTCCAAAAATGTAAGTATTCAAATATTCAAATGATTGGCAAATATATAGTAACAACTATTATTGAGTTTTAATGAATTATAATTTGAATAAATTGTAATATTCCGGATAAATGAATATTAATTGCATATTATATATATATATATATATATATATATATATATATATATATCTATAAGAAAGCCACCAATAATTTACATTTAAAAATAAATTATTTCGAATTAATCTTTTTTCTTTTGTCACATATATGTATAAATGTGTGTGTGTGTGTGTGTGTGTGTGTGTGTGTGTGTG